CGTCTCCGGCCAGGGAGGCCATCGACGGGGGAGTGTGTTCCGCCCGTTGTGGGAAAAGGCCCTCAACCACTTCTCGCAGGAAGCTGGGCTGGAGAGTCTCCGTAAGGGGGGGGCCCGACGCGCGGAGCTTTTGTCGCACCGCGCGGTAAGGGCGACCCCAGGGGTCACGATTAAGACCCTCCAGCATCTCCTGTCTTTTTTCCTCTTTGGCGCGGCTAATGGCCAGCTTCAGAGTTTTCCGCGCCCGTCGGTACTCCTCATGAAGCCGGTCCTCCTCACCGTCTCCACGGTGACGCCGCCGACTGCGCGTGTAGGACCTCCGGGCACGTGTACAGGCCGCACGGAGGTCCGCCAGCTCCTGGGACCACCAGTAGACCTCCTTCCTTGGAGGCCGACGACCTCGAACGCGGGGCATGGCCGCATCGCATACATGCGTAATCGCATCGCGAAAGCGGCCAGCCCCCACGTCGACCTCCTCGGTCGGAGCCTGAGGAGACAGCCACGAGTGAATTATGGCTGCCTCCTCTAGTAGGTCCCGGTTCAGCCTGGCAACAGCCCACCGCGGAAAGCGGGATAAACGCCGCGCCACGTGACCCCTACTGGAGTCCTGGGTCCGGGAGAGCTCAAATCGGATATACAGGTGATCCGAGAGCGTCTCAACCTCTTCCAGGACACACCAGTTCCTTACTCGTGCGGCGAGGACAGGGGTAGCGAACGAAAGGTCCACTATCGACCCCCCCTGCTGTCGCACGCACGTGTTGGTGGAGCCTCTGTTTAGAAGACAGAGGCCCACCGAGGCCGCCCACTCCTCTACGGCCTCGCCCCTGGCGTCCGTCCTGGGGGAACCCCACGCAGTGGACTTTGCGTTGAAGTCCCCCAGCACAAGGACGTGCCCAGACGCTAGTCGCCGTATCGAGGTCTCCAAGCTGGTTAGAAAAACCTCGAAGTCGTTCAAACTCCGGTTGGGGGAGAAATAGACACCATATATGATGATCCCCCCCCACTCGACGGCAACATATCCAGTGCCCTTGTCTCTTAGCGACAAGGGCGGGGAATGAGCCGTCGTGGAACCGACGACTGCCACGGAGCCGTCCCAGTCACCCATCCAGTTTGGACGGGGAGGGACAGAATAGGGCTCCGCGACTACGGCAACACCTATCGACCACTGTGCCATGGTTTGCAGGAAGAGATCCTGCGCCGCGGCACAGTGGTTCAGGTTCGTCTGGACCAGGAGGTTGGAGACTTGATCCATTACTGGATCGTCTCTACAACCTCCTCCATGGGCGACGACGTCGACGCACGAACTACATCGGAGGCAGCCTGGGTCGACTGGCTAACCCCCGACGTCTGCCGAGAACTGCGGGGAGGCTTGCAGCCTCTCTGCCCCATCTGGTGATTGGCGGGCTTATTGCCCGCCGCACACACTGGGCAGTGAGGGGCGGCAGAGCATTCTGCCGCCTTATGCCCCGGTTGACCGCAGCGGAAACACAGTCCGCCGCAGTCAAAGCAACTGTCGCACTTGACGCGCGTGTGTCCCGATGCTAGGCATTTGTAGCATCTCATCGGTCTCGCCGCCAGGACTGTGATCCTGGCGCTCACGAAGCCGATGAGCAGCCTGCCGGCGTCGGCCAATACTTTGGCCGACGCTACGGGACAGCTGACCCACACGGCGCCAAGCCCTCCTGGACCGGGGCGGATGGTGCCGACCCTGACGTTGTCCGCGCTGCACCCCGTCTTCTCCCGGATTACAGCGCGGACATCTTCGGCCGTCACTGAGTCGTCCAGGCCCGAGATGCGCAGTTCCGCGCACTTGGTAGGCCTGGCGACCCTGACACCATCTGTGGCTGCAAATATTCCCCGCAGCTTCTCAGCGAAGGAGTCCGCCGTCTTTGCGCCTTCGGCCCCAGGGAACTCGAGAACTCGAGCTCCCGTCTGGGCGAGGCGCATCCTGACCCCCACCGTCCCAAACTCGTTGGCGAGGCTGTCCCGGGCCTTCTTGAAGACGGCCGCATAGGACAGCCCGCCGTCAGCCGCCTCCGGGGACACGGTCACCACTACCGCCGCGGTTTTGGGCGGCTGCAGCTTCCGCGGCCTCTTTGCAGAGGCCGTTGCCACCGGTGGCGAAGGCAGGGCTTGGGCTGCTCTTTGGGCAGCCTTTTTGGCCCGCCTTCGGGACTTCTTGGAGCCCCTCGCCTCCTGCCAACCCTCGTTGGAGGGGGCAGGTGCGGAGGGGCCCGGCAGGGGTGTCGGAGTGGGGAGCGGAGGGAATGCCACTCCGCTCCTCGGCGCTGTTTTAGGCCCCGTCTTGGCCGGCGCCTGGAGATGTGCCTTGGCCGGCACCTTAGCCGGTGCCTTGGCCGGCACCTGGGCCGGTGCCTTGGCCCCCCTCCTCGGCTTTTGTGGAGCCGATGGAGTAGGGGCAGACGCCGCCGCCGCGTAAGAAACGCGGCCTCCCACAACGGGGAGCGCGGTCGGAGCGGCGGCCTTAGGCCGCTGTGCCGACGCGAGCGGGGGGCGCATACTCGGCGCAGGGGGCAGTCTCGCCTCCAGGCCAGCCAGGCGTCCGTCCAGCATATTCCCAACTGCGATGAGGATTTCTCGCAGTTGGGAGTCAAATGCCCCTGAGTTGGTGGTAGGGGCAGGCTGGGACGCGGACGGGGCTTCCCGCTCGGGGAGGTTCGCCTGGAAGCGGGCGAACTGAGCGCTCAGCTCGTTCACCCGCTCCGTCAGCCTCTCGTTGGCCACCTGCAGGCGAGAGACGTCGCCCGCTAGGCCCTCCACGACCTCCGACAAAGCGGAGGAGGAGTCCTTAAGGGCCCTCACAAACGAGCCCTTAAGGTTCACGGATTTGGTGGCCACCTTGTGAATGACGGCCACCGCCGCTTTCGCCCTCTCCTGCACGGACACGGGAGCCTGGGGGGCATTTCCCCCCACCGGCTCCCGAACCTTGAGCAGGAGATCCGCGATCTCCTCCTCCGCTACGGCCTCGCCGTCCACCCGTACACTTCTGTAGGACTCCGCGTTTGAGAACGCGGAGCCTGACGGGGTTAAGACCGGGGCCGAGGCCGGTTTGCGCGCCCTTCCTCGGCGGCTGCTTGCCACCTTCGGTGGCATCATCTCCTGGGACGTATCCGTTTCCTCGTCCCTGGAGCGTCCGCGTTTCCGGCTGTCGCTTCGTTCAGCCTCCATGGCCTCCGCGCCATCCGATGAAGCGGCGGATCCGGAACGCAGCCGATCCGATGCTCTTCGGCTCCCAGAGACCAGCGTCAGACTGACTTCTGGGAGCCCCATCGAGATAGGCGTCCCCGACGCCACCTCACCCTCAGTGGACGACCCATCCGCTCCACTGTTCTGTTTCTCCTTCCTTCCCTTCGTTTTTTTCGTTTCCGTTAGACTTGCCTTCTGTTGTTGGTTATTTCCGATCGTTTTCTTTTGGTTTGAGTTTTGAATTTTATCCATTATAAATCCCACGAGTGGGGGAGAACTAAAGGTCCACCCGGGCAGAGATCCCCCATTACCCGGGCAAGCGTAAGTTTTTAACCCAACCGAGGGGTCCGCAGGTACCTCGGCTTGGAGTGCGCTCGCGACTGAACTTCCCATCAGCCATGCATCCCCTGGCCACGCACCAGAACACGGGATTCGGGGAATTTTTTAGAGAGGTTATCTTCCTCGCGGTCCGGGCGGTTAAGCCAAGACCCTCGCCCCCGATCAGAGCCGCGAGACTTAACCACAGCGCTCTTCTCGGGATTGCGATATGCCGACGGTTGACAGGGAGACTACGTCCCCGTGCCTGCTCGGTGGTAGTGTGAGTACACGCCGAGCCCGTCCTCCTTTCTCCACCGCTATCAGCGGAGAAACTGTGGCCCCTGCAGGGCCCCGCCATCAGGTTTTTTACCGAGGTTTCCTCCTCCATGCTCCGAAGAGCGAAGAGCCAGCAGGGCAACCGGCAGACACGCCCACCCTGCTGGACCAGGCCTTGCCCGAGAGCCGATGAACGGCTGCCTCTTCTGCTAGAATATTGGCCGCTGGCGATAATCCTCTCCTCCAAGAGGACAAGGAGGAAACAGTACCATCGCCAGCGTTTCCAGGGTGCACCACGAGGAGGTTTTCTAGCCCAGCACCCCAAACCCTATACCAACCCGTCTGGCCAGCGTGGTATAGTAGGCCAAAACCTCCTTTCTAAGGAGAGGCTTGTGTCCAGCAGTGGACTATTAAAGGCTGCTGATGAAATTTTAAAGAGTAATTTTATAGTTCCTAAGTTGATGTAAGGTTGTTTTTGTTTACAAATTTTATGTTGTTTCTTTTTGATGGTCTGAGTTTTAAAATTGTAATAGTATTTAGTTTATCTTTGTTAAAATTAGCATAGATATAAGCGATTTGGTGTATACTGTGATGCTTATATTTTATTAATAAATAATTGAATTGAATTGAATTGAATAAATCTAAATGTTCGGTTAGTTAGTAAATCATTAAGCTTGGTTTGAACCACCGTCCCAATTCTTGGTGAGTATTTTCTTTTCATTATACTACTAAAGAAACGTGATCGTGGGAGAGCTGTGCACGTTCAGCACACGTGGACTGGCTCAACCGGAGTGATGCTACAGCCTCGTAGAAAACCGGTGTTAAACAATTCCTATACGGCTTTTCACCGAGTAAGTGAGGTTACCGAGCCCAAACCCCTGATGCTAGGGTGAGGGTTCAAAGGATGGCAATTCACTTGTGATTCTGGAGTTTCAGGTGTTAATGAACTGTTGTAGTCACATACCATCAGGTTATACGTTTGCTGGTTTACGATCCTATACCGTCAAAAAAAAAGTTTAGAAAACCTACTATTTTTGCATAAATTTGTGCGTGTACGACAATTTGATCCTCGAAATCCCTTGGAAGGTGATCAGAATCAGAAAGATCTTTGTTCCACAGTCACTAAGTCCACACGTATCATTGTGAAGTTTTTTTGCTTGAAACAGAGTTAAATTATTTCTTGAGAGTTATCTACTTACACTAATATTGTCTACATTTTCAGGTTCTAACATTGAAGAAAAATCAACGCGAGAGTATGTCCTCGATTCCCATAAGTTACTCATTCCGAAATCATAATCTTCTCGGTTTTGAATTTGTGAGGTGTCTAAAAATATACCTCCAAATGCACTACATTTAAGAGTAATCTGTAAAAAATACAAATACATTTATTAAACTATAACAATTAAATTCTGATAGTTTGTCGTCATAATGAAGCGAATGGTAATATTAAACAGGAGAAACAAGAAACAACAAATGAAGCAAAAAAAACCAAGAGAAACGAGTTGACCATTGACGATTTTTCTGGCATGTGAGGGGCTAACCACCACTTTTGCCCCAAGCCAACTTGCACGTAGTGCATCCTGCTGAACCACAAACGAGTCTCTGGCGAGCGACCGATGGTGATATATCCACCCCAATGGGCATAGATAAATTCGACAGGCCGGTGTCGATCAGCAGCCTGTCCAGCATGGCGGTTATGGGCTAATCTCCTCCAAATGCAGAGGCAACATAAGCCATGGCCCCCAGTTCCCGGCGACCCCGCTATTCCTGGTCATGGTGATGGTTTCGGCGAGACAGGGGTGCGAAGAATCTCCGGGCTACGAGAGGCCACCACAACCGACTTTAGGTGAAACTTAGGAAAATTAGGTGGCATATCCTAGGGCTAAGTAAAATCAAAAGAGAGGGAGAGGACACCGTAGCTCTCTAGTCAGGCCACCTAATGTACTTCCGCGAGGGAGACCAACAATCCGAAGGCGTTGGGTTTCTGGTCAATAAGTTCCTTTTTGACAACTTTGTGGAAATGTCCAGTGTGTCGAACAGGGTAACGTACCTCATTATCAAGCTCATCGAGAGGTATAGTCTCAAGGTTGTTCAAGTGTACGCACCGACCTTGACACACTCAGACGACGAGATAGAAGATATGTTCGATGACACATCGAGGGCCCTTCACATCACCACTAAGACCCACTACAACCTTGTTATGGGTGTGTTAGTGGGAGTACAAAATTGCAGCGAATCGGTAATTCGATAAATAATAAAAATCGATTTGGAAGCAGGATTTGTAGGGGGCAAATGCTCGTTAACTTCCTCGAACGGGAGGGGCACTTCTTGATGAATTCTTTCTTCAAGAAACAGCCCCAAAACAAGGAGACGTGGCAAAGCCCCGACGCTATAACCAAAAATTAGATCGACTTCATCATGACGGGCAGAAGCACATATTCAGAGAAGTCGGCTTCGAATCCGTTACTGATTTCGGAAGTGAAAAGCTTCTATGTTATATCCTTTATATATATATATATATATATATATATATATATATATATATATATATATATATATATATATATATATATATATATTTACTCTAGTTTATACCCTTCGCATGCAACTTCATCTGATCCCGAAAATGAGGACCTTAGAGCACCATTAACACGCCACTACATCTAAGATCAGCCAGAAGTCAGCACTAATGAAATGATGGATGATAGATGGATGGAGGATGGAGATGGTTCTGGGACAGCCGAAAAATGGAAAAGCCCCTGAAGAGGATGGCGTTACAACAGAGCTGATTAAGGCCGGAGGTAAACCCAGGGAGGGAGCTCCAAAAGCTATTCAAAGATGTCCTGTTTGAAGGGAGCGGGAAGCGTGGAGTAGGAGTGTGTCTTGTTCTTCAAAAAGACCATGTTGAAGTACTGTCGGCCCATATCGCTTTTAAGCCACGTCTAACAGCTGTTTTCGAGAGTCATCACGAACCGTATTGCTCGAAGACTCGACGAATTCCAACAACCGGAGCAAGCTGGGTTTCGAGGCGGATATGGCACCATAGACCACATCCACACAGAGCGGCAGATTATACAGAAGATCGAAGAATATAATCAGCCCCTGTGTCAAGCATTCGTGGACTATGAGAAGGCCTTTGAAACGATCCAGATATAATCTGTTCTGGAGTCCCGGAGTTCATAAGTGATGAAATCTCTCTACGAAGCTGCCACTATATCCGTCCAAGTACAGAATACCATTGCATCGAAAAGTGAGACAAGGGGACGTTATCCGAATGCAATGGAGGATATGTTCAAAACGCTGCACTGGAAAGGCTGCATCAATATCAATCAAATGAATACATTTCTCGCTTGCGATTTGCTGATGATATCGTGATCATGGCAGAGACGCTGCAGGACCTACAACAGATACTGAATGACCTGGCTGACTCTTCTGTGCGCATCGTCCTACGGATGAACTAGGATAAAACCAAGGTCATGTTCAATGACCATGTACTACCGGAACCGATTGCGGTACACGGGGCCGTTCTGGAAGTTGTTAAAAAGTATGTAGGTCTCGGGCAGACATTGCAGTTAGGTTTTTCTTTTGTCTTTTTTAAAAAGAAACTACGTCGAGTCTTCACATCGTCGATCCCACCGTGCCGTGACATACAGAGCCGCAACGTGGACGCTCACGGTACGGCTGGTCCACAAGTTCAAAGTTGCTCAGCATGGTATGGAAAGGGCTCTGCTCAGCTTCTCTTTAAGGGATCGCATCAGCAACTAGGTGATCAGGCACTAAACCAAAGTTATCGACATAGCCCACCGGATCAGCAAGCCCCTAAACTATAAGGAAACTGAATCCTTTCTGAGTACTTCTAGTTGCATCGTATAAAGAATATCAATGTTACAGGAAAGTTAAGTTAAATTAATAAACAATTTAATCATAAATTAGTTTTGTATTTTGAGATAATGCCTTCGTTGGGTGTACCTAGGTATATCCAGCCTACCTAAAGACAGCCTTGATTAAATATTAAATGGGTTATCAGTTATCACGTGTGCGTGTGACGCTTGTCACCGTGGCGATAATACATCACCTCTTGATAAAGTAATAAATTGCATTATTTCGGGTAAATCCAGAATTGACAAAACAATAGACAATTAGGTATTGCACCACAATCAAAGCACGTTTCAAATAACTACGAAACATACGACGGTAACTAACACTTAACTGAACTACGAAGCTATAGTTTATAGGAGGTTAACTTACATCTTTAACACTTCCTTTAGCGGAGCTTATAATAATATCACATTTTTTTTCCCCTACAGTTTGTCGAAGAGTATCTATAAAGGCAATATCACGCGACTTTCCAATATGGTCAGCTGAAACCAAACTTATGTGTCAGATTAATATAATATAAAAACAATTACTAAACAGAAAACAGTTAGGTCTAAAAGTCTCTCACCTACCTACGTTACATTACAAAAAGAAGTTGAAAAGAAAGAAAAAGCTTATGGCCATATTTTTTTCTAATGAACAATGACTCCTTTGGAATTCTGATGTTATGTTACTGAAAAATTGAAACGAAACACAACACACCAGTACTGGATGATTGTTTTTCTGAGATTTTTATTCGAGATGCTTTTGCAAGATGAATTTAATTTGCTACAAATGTCGATCAAAGCGAGGTGAGTTGTTACTTCATCAAAAGACGCTAAATACGAGCATCCAGCATACAGTACCAATTCGGTAATGATTTGACAAATTTATTTTCAAATTTCAAATCCAACTTTCAAGGAAAAATATGAAAACTGATGATAAGTGGTACTCCGTAATTTCCGTGTACATATCCAAAATCAGCAAAAAGCCGAAATATTCTAAAGGCATGGAAATATTAGTTATCTATTTAGTGTTTCAAAATAACTAGCATTATGAGTGTGTATTGAAAAATAATTAATCATTGTGGTTTAAGATTTAACCTTTTCAGCCAGACACTTTTAGACCTTGCTAGGCATACAGGTGATGATGCAAAACTAATTCTTAAATTTAATATTTATGTCAAATGATCAAAGGATATCATAAGTTATTTTTTTTAGAATAAAGGGCACACGTTTGGCAGTTCACCTGAAAAAAAAATAAAGAACTTATAAGTTATAAAAAATAGATAAGATTTACCTTTTAGTTGTGGGAACAATTTCAGTAAGAATTGTTTTTTATGTATATCACTGACAGTGGTAAATACTTCACAATCATGAGCCAATGCAATCGATATTATCGCTTGACCTAAAGCACCTGCCCCTCCGTGCACCAACACTGTTCTTCCACGGAGTAGTTGCACCTTTATTCCCTTTTAAAATAACAAGCAGAAAATTAAGATTACTATTATCCGCGTAAAAAAAAATTGAACGAAAAACAAAGTCATTTCAAAGCATGTCATTAGATTATAATATAGTAGTGTACTTACGAGGCAGTAAAATGCTTGTAAATATGCTAGGGGTACGGTGGCTGCATCTTCTAAACTCCAATGTGCCGGCACTGGCCACAGAAGTTCTGGCTGCGCTCGGACCTGATTGCTTGCCGCACCACTGCGCACTACCCCCATTACAGGTTGACCCCTGACATATTAACATAATAGATTATACTGTGCTAGACCCATTAATTTGACGCTATTTAAAAAAGACAACAGCTGCACTAAGACTAGGAAATAGGAAACTAAAAACACCTAGACTCTACGCCATCGCGCCATGCATGAAGAATAATGCAGTTCAATTATTATCTTAACATTCTCATCATGGTTAAGGTTATTTTAGTGTGTATTTTTAAGTCTTAATCAAGGAATCATCATCATCACCATCAGCCTTTAATATTCCATTGCTGGGCGTAGGCCTCTCCTTAGAAAGGAGGCTTTGGCCTGCTATACCAAGCTGTCCAGACGGGTTGGAATAGGTTTTGTTTCAAGTTTTCCTTCTCTTTGCAGTGCTGTTGTCCTGGGTATTTTTCTCCCTTAATCGGCTCTTACGACACCCACGGGATAAATAGGGGTTGGTGACACTCCGTATTTTTAATCCGTCACCACACGGACAGTCAACTAAAATAACATACTATTACAGAATTATTCTTAATTCATAAAGTGATAACATTATAATAAAACAAAATTTTCTAAGTTAAGTTGTTATCTGAAAATGATTTTCTCTCAATAACAAACTGGACGAAATCGATTCATTATTTATTAAAAATTAGTGGGTTTATAAAAATTCCAAATCAAGTTCAATCTAAATACCTCTCTGTAATCCCGCTGAAATCCATTCCGTATGTTTTAACATTTTGTGCAGAGAATAGTGAACCGTTGGCGTGTTTTATATCATTACTAGTAATCCCTGCATAATGGACCTGAGATAAATATTTAAAAAAAATGATTTTATAATTAATAGTATCTTTGGACAATAAATGCAAAATCATATGCAGAACAGGTCAAAAGAAGTAAATTTTAAGAAGTAATCCCAAACATCATGTGTCGTTTCAAGGTCACGCGTTTTGGCAGTAATAAAAATAATAATTGAAATTCGTATACGCACAGTCGATCCAGTATATTACTATTAATTAGTTATCGTTTAACATACACATAAAATGTATTTTAAAAAACCGCCTAAAAGTGTTTAAAAATCTGATAAATGTCATTTGGGGTTACCAAATGAGCGACTTTCATTGTATTAAATATTGTTTTATACTCGTACTTACATCTAACTTTGATTTGAAATGGGGCACAAACGTCAGTGTTTTTAATGTCATTTTTGTATCATTAACCGGGGGCAAGTGTTGATATTTAATGGCTTGCAATACAACTCCTCCGCACCTAATTTGGAAGTAAAAATAACCATAAACAAAAACCTCAACTAATATTTAAAAATAAACTTCAACAAAATTTTAGTAGTTAAAAAGGTAATAAAATGGAGGTGGCTCACCTAGTCAAATCAGATTTTTCTAGAACTTCAGCCCTAACTAAAACTTTGCCGTCTAATTTTGGTAGAGTAACAAGTGTTTGAGTATGTTCTTTGACGTCAATATGTAGTTTCTGGATGCGCGTAGGATGTGAGACAGCGTTATGTTGTTGTCGCAGCATGTTCAGCTGCAGCATACCATCAATGAAAGTGACCCAATTGTCACGCCACTCTATCATGGCTTCGCTCAGGGACTCGTCAGCGCAATCAATAGATTGAAATTCACCTCTGTGCCATTTGAAAATAGTTTATTAATTAAATTTTAATATACAAGAATAAATTAATTAAAAATAATTTTTCACATAATTTTAAATTTACCAACCCATAAGAATAATCTCTATCTCGTAGCAGCTGATAAATATCTTCACCACTTAAATGCACAGTTTGTTACTGGTTATTCACGACTGTATTAATCATTTTTATCTTTACGGGTTTAATGTATCCAGTTGCAACTCTAGAAATGCCATCTAAAATCTGAATAAAAGTCTTGTAAATATTTTTCATTTTAAAACACTATTAAGAAATTTACAAAAAAGTATACTATAATAAATTTACATTAAGGTTAAGCGAAGGCGTTTCAAACTTTTTTTTTACAAATTTTGTCAACTTTAGTCCTAGTGCCACTTACGTAATAGGAAGAAGCCTATTGTTGTCAACTTACTTGGGTACTTTGGGAAGTAAATGGAAAATTCGTTATCCAATAATCAGAGAAGGATATTTCTTATGGTTCGGGGATTATAATTAATTCAAGAAAAACTTAAATTTCGTTATGTAAAGTACTGTACCCTAGTATTTTACGGCTACCATATTTTTTATTTACGTGTGGAAACCCAGCGTTTGCGGCGGTGTAGAATGTCAGAATTTAATTTATTATTAATATTTTGCTAGCTTTGGTTAAAACTTGCAGACTGAATTTAATCCAATTTGATTTATCTTTTTGGTTATAGAGTATTTGACAACCATTTAGCTTAGACCGGGATACTTGGCGCTCCTTGGGGAGGCCTCCTTTCAGCAGTAGACGGAGATAGGCTGATGATGATCATTTAGCTTCAGATTTACCTCAAAGCCTCCTTCCCCCCTGTGTATGGTCACACTAAGTTTGAGTTGTCTTCCGTCATGCAGGACCGGTTGTGCATAAGATTTGATATTTTGGAACTCAACAGACATTTGCCTCTTTGGTACACCCATTACCATAGAAAGTGTATCCCACACTAGCATTAAACTAGCAGCTAACGGAAACAAGGTATCACCTACAAATAAACATATGTATAACGAATATGAAAAGATTGAAATTATTATTTTTTAAAAGGAAAACTGTCTTCATCAAATTATGTTTTAAATCACACTAATATTTTTAAGGCGAAAGTTTGTGATTGTGTGCTTGTATGTTTGATACTTCTTTAAGCTCAAACGGTTGAAATAAATTTAACCACTTTTTATCTCGAGAAAATTTGGGGTTTCCGTGGGAAGAGCAAAGAATTGATAAGCCGCTGGTAACACCTGTGGTGTTTGTGGTGCAGCTAACATTTTGCATTTTTAAGTTCGTTATAACCATTTAAACACAAACAAAACATTTACGTGAATATAACGAAAGTAAGCAAACTGCTATTGCAATAAAAGTTTTAACCAAATGTAGTATCTAGTAGTATTTTAACTTTAGAGGAATTGGTTTAATTTGACAATCAAGAGCACAGTTCTTGGTAAGTTTGATGTAAGTATTTTATATCATGAACTATATTACAATTTGGATCTGCAATAGTTAGTTTATTATAAATACCTCTTATTGTATGTCCTCGTACATAAGAATATTCCTGATCATGTAAAGCTAAAATAAAATCGCAGTTTGCACCTTGTCTCTTGTTCGCCAAGCAATGAATGGACAGTGGCCTAAGGAAAAAGTAAGCAACAAATTTAGAAATGAATGTAAATGGATCATGTTTAGTTCATCATAGTTCATCATAGTCATCATTAATGTAGTTTATAATATGTTGACATTAAAATCCAGACGTATTCTCCTTGACTCTATGACTCTTTTTAATGTATGCCGGAACAAATTTGATTGCCCTGACTTGGTGATTGTTTATGCTACCTGGTTCCTCGAACAGTCCACGGGCGGGGTGTGCGAGCCAGACACCTATTTGCGACTTGACACTGTAAAACGAATTCTGGTCTGCGTTCGCCTCTTTACCGTTTAGTTGACACATACAATAAGCATTTTAGTGCAATCGATATATTACATGTTAGTAGGATTAAATTTAAAAGAGACATAATAGCGGTACTAAAGGGTCGGCAGTAGGCAATAAAAGTTGTTGAAATGTTTAAGTGAAACTTTATTTGTCTCAGTTACCAACGTTTTGTTTTGAGTAACCGCTTTTCTTATTGATTAAACTGCAGCGGCAGCAGCTCATGTCTGCTAACAATGGAATTATTTTATAAGGTAATCTGTGGAAAATTTAGTGGGTAGTATATTAGTTAAGTTTAGTTACAAAGATTTCATATGTATACTCATTATACTATTGTTTGTTTTCCCAAATAAATAAATAAACAATAATACAGTCATACCATCGTTCATTATGAGCCCATTTTACTAAGTGAGATAAGAAAGGTGTACCAGTAGAAACAGGCATCTCAACTTTGGGATACAAAGCCTGAACGTCAAAGTTGAACCCTTCCATATGCAACCTGCAATAAAGATTCTGTTTTTACATCTAATTTCTGTTTCCAACGGTGTATCGTAAACCAATTTAAATGAGTGTAACAGTATCAACTATTAGAATAGAATAAAATAGTTTTTATTGTAAGTCTTGCATTGCTGTATTGGTCTATCTGTGATAATAATGTATAGTATGGTATAAATAAATAAAAAACTTTATTGTTCATCAGTTTATTACATCATACATACAATTAATAGTACATCAATTTAATGACCATGTACACTGCAATTCTTACAGGCAACCTTTGGATGGGCAAATAGACTGTAGATGAATGAATTCGTGGGCAGTTCTGGTGTGAAAAAGTGCATAAGAGTCATAAAAGATTTAAACAGCAACACGGTATTTGATAATGATAAAAGTCAATATACTACTACAAATATTAACGTTCTGAAGGTATATGAGACGAATATGCCTGTTGTTCTTATGGTTAGTGACTGCTAAGCCAGAGGTAATGGTTTAGTCAGAATAAATAAATCTGTATTGAGCAGGATCATTTGTTCTGGGTTGAAGTGTTATTTCTATCTATAAAAGAAGTAACTGACAGACTGGTTCACCGACTGATCGATCAACGCACATCTGCAATCGCAGGGTCTTGAAACATGAAATGTTGTACAAATGTTCCTTAGGTGACGAATGTGTGTTAAAAATGCCAACCCTGGGGTGCAAAATGGGGGTTGGTAATTTATATGAAACTTGGTTATTTTTGGTAGTAGCGTATCCTCTACGATGTCTAATGTCGACCACCACGTGGACGAAGTCGATGGCAAAAGTTAGTTCATATGTATTTAGAAACTTATAACTATGTTTATCAGCAGTTTAATTACCATACTACGTCATGCCTAAGGCCATGCCGTAAGATAGTGTGATGTTATTATTATTATCATTATTTGACTTACTTTCCGATAGCTTCGAGCAAAAATAGTGTATTGTCAGGATGCTTCCGTTTTGTCAATGGAATACTTTTACAGGAACGTAAAGAACGAGTTAGAATAGCTTGTAGTAACCCATGCGGGGCGATTTCTACTAGCACAGCCTCACTCGGCACTAAGAGCGAAGTTTCTTCAAACAGCACTGGACTCTGTATTCGAGATATTTTGGACGAAAATATTAATTACGTAAGTGTTACAAAAAGTAAGACTGCTGACGATAACAACATATTCTTACCAACAAATTGTTTGTGAGGTACTCGGCAGAGCAAAGCTCGGCGATGGGCTCGTTCCATCGAGCTTCTGGTACGGAGGTGGACAGCCAACGCTTACTCCGGACTTTAGGGTTAGGAATGGCCTTTTGTAAGTATTTTAACAATCCCGGTCCTGCCAATAAACATGTTAAACTAGAGATGGTCTGGTGGCCTAGTCGCATTTCCACTAATTCCGCAATATGACTAAAAATTTGTGCCATGAGAAGTCCAAATATATATATATATTAAAGACAACTATATACTCGAGACTGACAGGGTTTTGTAGTCCTTTTTATTGTTTTTTGAGTTGCTGTTTGTTTGCCCTTCTTCTTCATGTAAACTTTAAATGCCAAATTTGTTTGAAAAGAGGTACACTAGTAATTACAATGTTTTGAAATACGTGGCATTTACTACTCATCATCAGATCACATCAGCAGCCTGTAATAAATAGTATACCTGGTGCTTTACATAGGCCTCTCCTTATAAAGAAGGTTTTTACCGACTATACCACCGTTTTCTTTTTTTTTTGTCTGTGCGGAAATCCCTTCGGATACCACTCATCGGTGGTTATGTTGGACATGAACCGACCAAAAGCCGCATGCCGTCTCGGGTACCACTAGCCTATATCACCCTGGCCAGACGGGTTGGTATAGGGTTTGTGTCAAGTTTTCCTCCTCTTTTCAGTGCTGTTGTCCTCCGTAGTTTGCTCCTTAATCGGCTCTTACGACATCCACAGGATGAATACGGGTCGGGACTAGTGATGGATTAATTAGTCTTCAGTGTTATTTAATTGTGAATTCTTAATTATAAGTTAACAAATTAATTGTAGTCGTGAAATTTCGTGAACTTATAAATTAATGCGTACACGAAATTTCGTCGCTTCATTCGTTCACATCACTTCATTTTTTTAAATTGTTTAAAGTTGTGCATAGAATTGGTACCTACATAGTATTTCTTAATAAGAAGTTTAATTATAGCGTAGGTATGGGTAATTTCAGTTTTGAGTGTGGCGTGTGCGTGTAAATAGGTATTTTGTGAATAGATCGAGATATTTTCTGCAAAAAGATAGTGTTAAGTGATGAATTGAAGAAAGCCAGCATCATCATCAACAGCCTTTAATAGTCCACTGCTGGACATAGGCCTCTCCTTAGAAAGAAGGTTTTGGCCTACTATACGCTGGCGAGACGGATTGGTATAGGGTTTGTGCCAAGTTTTCCTTCTCTTTGCAGTGCTGGTAATTTGCTCCCTTAGTCGGCTCTTACGACACCCACGGTATGAATAGGGGTGGTGACACTCCGTATTCTTAATCCGTCACCACACGGACAAGAAGGCTAGCATATCGTGAACAAACCCTGAATTGCATTATTTCTGTAATAATGTTGGAGAAAAAAAAATAGCAGCCACAAATATAATAAATAATAATATATATATATATAATAATAAAACAGCCAGCAGTACAAATATAATAAAAATAAGTTAATTATGTAAAATTAGTACTTAGTGTTAGTATTAATAACTATAAGTTACGATCGTTTTTCGTTTGCTCTCCTCTTTCGAAATTGCAATATTAGCAAATAATATTAGCTCTAATATCTTCTAAAATATTCATTTTAATGATATGCTGTAAAGAGCAATTTTAATCTGCATTAAATGCATAACGTATCTAACGTATGTCATTGGATAAGGAATAATAAAATATTGTTTAAAATAGCTTCATAAATGGATTTTATTTTTTTCTAATATTTAAAAGAAGAAATGGTTACTGTGGGTCACTCTTAGGGATACACATACACCATCAATGACTTTTTTGTAGATCTTTCTAAGATATAAAATTCCGTAGTACATTATTTTGGTCTATCTATATCTATAAGGATTATCTAAAGTTTGCAATGTAAGCGCTCAAAGCCATGTTTTTAAGACAAATCTTAGAAATTCTCGGATTTTCGCCACTATAATATACCTGTATTGTACATATAAACCTTTCTCTTGAATGGCTCTCTCTCTCTGTTGGCTTTGAAAGCCGCATTAAAATCCGTTGCTTAGTTTAAAAGATCTAAGCGTACAAGACAAAAAAGCGACTTAATTTTTAATTTTATAACTATAGCGATGATAATTTACGATTCCTTCAATATACTTCTTGCAACTAGGCACTTATTGATTAAAACTGTAGCTTTCTTACCGGCATCGGCTATGTAACGTGAGTGGTATGCAATATTGGAGCACGGCACTTCTTTAGCAAAGATTCCGTCGGCTGTTAGCTTTGCAACGAATTCGCGCATAACATCTGATGGCCCAGAAATAGTACTTGAGTCTGGGCCGTTACGGCACGCCACTTCTATCTCTGGTGGACACATTTGTGAAATCTAGAAAAAAGTATTAAATGTGTGAATTATTTTCAAAATGAAACTGTCATTTTTTACGTAATTGTAGTTTGTAATGCAGGGATTCCCAAAGCGGTCGATATCGAACCCAGTTAGTGTCGAAATCAGTTTCCCAGGAGGCAACATAAACGAAAACTGATTTTGGGGGTCGACGAGGTCTAAAAATCAACCCTGTTATTTACCAAAAATTTTCATTTGAAACTTTCAAGATACTGTATAAATTGTGTTACGTGTACTAACTTGTGATAAAAATGACTAACATTTTAGTAGGAAGTATCATTGTCATTTAAAAAAATTAAACAAGTCAAAAAGCATGCACAAGTTTGTACAAGATGAAAAACTCTACAAGTTAATAAGCGTGGACAAGTTCGGGCAAGATAATGAGTTCGAGTGTATAAGTCTTTCAGGCACGTTTTGACTTGCTCTGTATTTGACGCATTAGCTTTACGATTTAACATGAACGAAAGCATGAGTTCAAGTTCAAACATGTTCTTGATATTTTATTACGTCGGTCAAACTCAAACTCAAGACATTTTTATTAAAAAAAAAAGAAATCATCTTTTAAGTACACTAAAGTTGTAAATCAACACACACAATAGCAACAATCTCTGTTTTGTCAAACAGCAAAATAAATTTAACAAAAATTATACTTATACGAAATCTATCATATGCCTGTGCCGGTTTACAACCGCCCGTTTCCAAGGCCTTATTAGAAGAAAGAGCAAACAAAATCATGGCCACTCTTTTGCAATTTACAGATAGATACAATGGCATCATCAAATATACCACAACATTATTTTGAAGTGTGCCAGTATGTCCGTTAACAAGGACCAAAAGTTAAAGAGACTATAAAGAGAAAAGTAAGATTAAGAAAAAAGATCAAATAAAAGAGAAAGTGAAGTGAAACATAAAAACAGAAAATAATAATAACAATGAAAAAACACCCTAACCCACATCACATTTCCACTTAAGAAATAGCCTGCGCTAAATTAATGAAAAGCATTATTGTCTTCTATGTAATCCCAGTTGAGTAATAGTCTTTGTGACACAATTTACGTTTTATGGCGGATTTAAATTTGTTGTACTGAATATTATTTGGGATTTTATTATATAATCGAACACATTGACCTCACCTCACCTCACCTCACGACTTGTTTACCTTTTGAAGATTAGAAGCAGGTACTACAAGTTTGTTTCTATTTCTAGTATTTATAGAATGTACATCACTTCTTTTCGAAAAGCTATCCTTGTTTTTATGAACATATTTTACATTCTCATATAAATATACATTGACATGCCACTGTCCTTATGTTTATTTCTTTAAATTTTTGCCTAAATAAATAAGAATTGCCTGGGTTATAAATTGCTCGAATCGCTCTCTTTTGCAGTATTAAAATAAACTGGACAGCAAATAAACCGAGCCACCCGTTTACCTAGGCACTCTAATTCGATTTTCTCAAAAACTAAAAAAACCTACAATTAACAAAGTTGTACCTACAGAAAGTGCGTTTCATGGTGATTAAAATGAAAGGAAACTCATTGGGTTTAATCAATATTTCAGTTTTTATTAAGAATTTTACAAAGAAGAGTCTTTTTCCAGTCGTGACAATCGTTAGTAATGATAAAGTGAAAAAAAAAAAATTAAATTCAAAAACAAAGATAAAATCAAAAAAAAGTTTTTGATCAATATTCCGTATTCCCTCCCCTTGCTCGGATAACTGCCAGCATCCTTGTATTCATCGACCTTACGAGCCTGACGATAAAATCTTGAGGAATTGTTATTCCACTCCTCTTCAATTGCGATTCGCAGCTCTGGAAGCCTTGTTGGAGCAGGTACCCGGGCTCGAACCCGACGTTTCAGCTCATCCCATAAGTGTTCTATCGGATTCAAGTCCGGGCTTCGAGCTGGCCAGTCCATCGTACGAATGCTGACGTCGCGTAGATACTGGGTCACCACATGAGCAACATGAGGCCGTGCATTATCATGCATCAATTGCATATCCTGTCCGATATATCCTGCGTAAGGTACCACATGGTCTGCGAGGATTTCAGTAATGTAGCGATGAGAAGTCAGTCCACGTGTACGGCCCGTCGGTTCGATGAAAACTAACGCTGTATGTGCTGTTAACGAGATGCCGCCCCAGACCATTACAGATCCTCATCCATAAGCAACAGTTTCCTCGATGCAACACTGAGAATAACGTTCTCCAGGGCAACGATATACTCTCTGACGTCGATCACTTCCATGTAGACTCACCCTGGTCTCATCAGTGAAGAGTACATTACTCCACTGCTCTAATGTCCAATCCCTATGCTCTCGAGCAAATTCAAGTCGTGCTCGACGGTGTGCTACCGTTAATGCTGGGCCTGTTGCAGCTCTTTTTGGGGTCAGGTTTGAATATCGACAGCATTCCCCCACAATATAATACCGTACGACATCATGTTATGAAAATAACTGAAGTTAACGAGTCGTGCTGTATCAATACCAGTCAACTCAATTTTTTTTACTACGTATGCTGCTGAGCCGAGTCTACTCGATAATTTATCAATATGTCACTATTTAGGTTTTGAGGTGCTCGAAATGTTAAAATCGAACGCATCTGTGTCATATATTACATACATATACAAATTCATTTTTGAAATCAAACACAAAAGGCCATTTACAGCAATAAAAAAATAAAATTAGAAGTATTATACTGTCATCTTTTCCCGCTTTTTCGCCGGCTACAAAGGAGCTTAAAAGTGAACATTTGCGTGCTATAATATATATTACTTTAAATGTGGTTTATCTGAAGGTTTAGGCTTAGAACGTTTAAAATCAGCTTTAGGCGAGTTTGTTCCTTCTTTGTAACCATTTTTATATGATTTAAATTTAAAAATGATGAACACGAAGATGGTGACAGAAGTGGACGCCTGCCAACAGCAGTTACCGCTGAGAATGGGTGGCCTACTGAAATGATTGTGCGAGATGACCTACGAATTACATACAGGGACATAGAGAAAATCGTAGGCATTAGTTCGGTTAGTGTTCATACTATATTACATAAACATCTTAGGATGAGGACGCTTTGTTATCGTTACAAGAGGAAACGAGGTACCGTTTCCTCTCCGAAACGGAAAAACCCCAGTGTTGAATGGTGCTGTGAGATGCGTCTACGTTTTAAAAATGGGAGGTCAAGACTTGTTTCTGAAATCATTACTGACAGCGAAACATGGATATCAATAGGTTCAGGAAAGCAAAAAGCGTTCCTCGGTATAGATGTTGCCAAAAAAAATTGCAAAGACAGCGGTACATTGGCACAAAAAAGGGTGACCAGTTTTTTTCACGGAGTGGACATCTTGCAACATCAACGCTAGAGAATTGTAAGTCTGTTAACTCAGAATGGTAAACTACATTCGCATTGCCAAAAGTTTTCAAAGCTGTACAGGAGAGACAACCAAAGACCAGGCTCCGTTCGGGGAGTGATGCTGTACCACGACAATCATACTCTTCCCTCTGAATAGACCTTTCCCTCTCTATAATCTGGTGTTGAAATCCTTTTTTTTTCGAAATCCCCTCGGACCGTCACCCCACCGGGGTTTGCGGCGGGGTGGTGTGTCGGACTCGGACCGACTAAAACCACACGGTGTGCCACTCTGCGCCTGTAATAGGAGGGACCCGGGAACAGCTGTTATTAAGACATCCGGACCCCTCCTAGCGCCTGCCCGCTCCTGGTGGCTGGCTGGCTCCGTCTCAAAATTTTCCTCTCTTTAGGCAACGTCCGGCACACGCGGACGCCGCCCCCTCGCGGCTGGCCAAACTAATGCGGGTGGAGGGGAAACCCACCCCGTCCACCCGCGGCCACACTCAGGGCGGCATGAGGCGGTGATAGGCGCGCCTCCGCCGCCCGGTTCGCCGGCGGCGGATCGGGTCCGAGTGGAGGTCGTCCTCCCGGGCCTTCTCCGCCGCCTCCTTCTGCGAGATTACTCGCGGTATTGAAATCCTTTTTTTTTTTTTTTTTTTTTTTTACGTGTGGAAATCCCCTCGGACCGTCACCCCGCCGGGGCTCTCGTTCGGCGGGGCGGTGTGTCGGACTCGAACCGACTAAAACCACACGGTGTGCCCTCTTTGCGCTTCCAGTTTAGGAGGGGTCCAGGTAGTTATCGCCTTCTGGACCCCTCCCAGCGCCAGCCCGCTCCTGGTGCGGGCTCCGTCTCCAGGACCTCTCTTTTTAGGCGGCGTCCGGCACACGCGGACGCCGCCCCCTCGCGGCTGGCCAACTAATGCGGGTGGAGGGGAGAACCCATCCCGTCCACCCGCGGCCACACTCAGGGCGGCATGAGGCGCAGGTGAGCGCGCCTCCGCCGCCCGGTTCGCCGGCGGCGGATCAGGTCCGAGTGGAGGTCGTCCTCCCGGGCCTTCTCCGCCGCCTCCTTCTGCGAGATTACCTCCTCGCAGAAGGTTGCGACCGCGGTAAAACAACTGTCGCTACCGGCCATGGAGCGAATTACGGCCGGTAGCGAGAGATCCACTCCGATGACTGCAGTGAGGGCCCGGCGCTGCGTCGCCCATGCGGGGCAAACCGCCAGCGTGTGCTGGGCCGAATCCTCACTGCAGTCGCAGTGGTGGCAGGCGGGACTCGATTCCCTCCTAGCGACCGAGTACAGGTACTTTCCGAAGCAACCGTGCCCGGAAAGCACCTGCGTCAGCCGGAAGGAAAGGGTCCCGTGCTGCCGCCCCGCCCACTCGGCGATGACCGGCTGGAGAGCCTCCACGGCGGCGAAGCCAGCGCGTGGAGTCTCCAGCCGGAACGACCATCTCACCATGGTGGCTCGGCGAGCGGCTTCGCGCCACTCGCGCACGTCTTCGGGCGGAGGGCGAAATCCGCTCTCCGCCCGGAAGTCAGCCACTCGCCGATAAACTTCGGCGAGCACCTCCGCCTCCAAATCCCACGGGGGTGTTCCGGCCAAGGCACAGGCCGCCTCGGTGGACACCGTGCGGTATCCGCGTATGGCTCTGACCGCCAGTATCCTCTGGGGGCGCCAGAGGCGCGCCCTATTCGGGGCGGTCAGGGCCGCCACCCACACCGGTGCACCATAAAGCGCCATGGACCGGACAACCCCCGCGTACAGCCGCCTCGTGGGAACACTGGCCCCGCCCAAATTGGGCAAAAGTCGCCCTAGGGCGGAGGCAGTGTCCACCAGCTTCGGACCAAGCTGTCGGAAGTGCTCGTCGAAGAGCCACCTACCGTCTAGGACCAGACCCAGGTACCTCATCTGGGTCCGGACCGGTACGAGGACCGAGCCGACCTCGATTGAGGCGCCGGCGGGCGGACCACGACGGGGCCCATGGAATAATAGGGCCTCCGTCTTATCCAGGGCCACCCGTAATCCCAACGCCTCAATGCGCCCGACCACCTGGGAAACTCCCGTGGCGGCCAGGCGCGCCGCCTCCTGGAAGTTAGCCCCCCGGGCCGTGACTAAAGTGTCATCCGCGTAGCAGATTACACCCAGCCCGGGGGGGAGACGCCCTCGTAGGGCCCAGTCGTACCCGATGTTCCACAGGAGAGGTCCTAGGACAGACCCCTGCGGAACACCGCACGACATGGCCCTGCGTCTCAAGACGCCATCTCGGTCCTCGTACATGACGGTTCGCTCCTCAAGATAGTCTGCCACCAGCCGCCTCAGGTACTCCGGCACTCCGTGGTAGCGGAGCGCTTCCCTGATGCAGCTGAATGGCAGACTATTGAAGGCGTTGGCGATGTCCAAGGACACCGCCAACACCACTCCGCCGCAGCTCACGGCCTCCTCGGTCACGGCCCTAAGGCGCATTACGGCATCGATCGTCGAACGCCCCTCTCGGAAACCGAATTGGGCGTCCGACAGATCGGGGCCAACCTCGCAAAGGTGCCGGACGATGCGGGCAGAGAGCACCCTCTCAAAAAGTTTGCCCGCCTCGTCCAGCAACACGATAGGCCTATAGGCCGCGACCGATTCGGCAGGCCGTCCCGGCTTCTGCAGCAGGACCAGCTTCCCGCATTTCCAGCGCTCAGGGAAGCGTCCGGACGCCAGGCTAGCGTCCAACACCCCCCTGAGGTGGTCCGACATGTAGTCGAGGGCTCGGGCCATCACTCGGGCTGGAACCCCGTCCGGCCCGGGGGCGGTGTTCTTGGATCGAATCCGTAGAACAGCCGCCCCCAACTCCGATTCCCTGACGGGCGGAACATCGACCTCGCTGCCCCCGTCGTCTCCGGCTGATGCAGCCATCGACGGGGGTGTGTGCTCCGCCCGCTGCGGGGAATAGGCCCTCGACCACTTCCTGCAGGAAGCTGGGCTGGAGAGTCTCCGTAAGGGGGGGGCCCGACGTGCGGAGCTTTTGACGCACCGCACGATAAGGGCGACCCCAGGGGTCACGCTCGAGACTCTCCAGCATCTCCTCTCTACACGCATCCTTGGCGCGGCAGATGGCCAGCCTCAGAGTTTTCCGAGCTTCTCGGTACTCCTCATGAAGCCGGTCCACCTCCTCACCGACCCCGCGGTGACGTCGCCGACTACGGGTGAGGGACCTCCGGGCACGTACACAGGCCGCATTGAAATCCTAACCCGACCACCTTACAGCCCTGACTTAGCTCCTTGGGGCTTCCTTTTATTCCTTACCATTAACGATAAGATAAAAGGCAAGTTTTTTCAAGTGCCGAAGAAGCGGTGGCTACCTAAGAATCAGCCATTTTTGACCTGTCGGAGGAAGACTAGAATAATTGTTTCCAAGACTGGTATAGGAAGATGGAAATTTTTACTGAGACCGATCTAGAGTCTTTGAAAAAATATAATATGAATTGTAAGTATATATTGTTTACTTTTTGCGCGTCTCAAAATTTATATAGTGACCTACGTGTATAATAGGTTTGCACTTAAGTTGAAAGTTCATTTTCGTTTTGAAATTCGTTGGAGCTTGAATGTACTAATTTGTTTCAAGAGATTACAAAAGATTTTGCTAAGAGGTTTGAGGATTTCTTAACTATGCAAGTTCCTCAATAGATAATAAATTCGTACAATATCACAGCCATGAAAAAAGTTGTGATAATCCAAGAAGAGTTGATCACTATTAGCTTAGCTTAAGCAGAAGTTAAACGAAGGCTATCAGAAGTTCTGGTTGCAGTACAAAATTGAAACACAGAGTCCTGCATTGCTGAACATTGCTCAAAAATACCTTATCGCTTTTCAATCATCACACCTAGTCGAAAAAGGCTTGAGTGTGGTTTGAACATTTTGAAAAAACAAAGAAACCGTTTCATAAACATTATTGTTTATGAAACGGCGGCGATTGAACGCTGCAACTCACCAATATTGAATCAAATTTAGCTAGAAAGTCAGCAGGTTCATCTATCAGACTGATTTTTTTATTGTTTTATCTTAAAAATTCAAATATGTTTAAAAAAGAAATACGTACTTAAGTATTTTTTTTGTAGTAATTATTAATTACACTTGATATTTACTGAATTTTATGTCTACTTATTATGTTAAATTTTGATGAGAAAATGATGTCTAGTTTACTCACTTAACCAACCGTAGAGTTTTGAATTAGTAAGTATTTTGTATCAATAGGAAAAAACTAGAGTTAAATGTTTAAAGTAATTTAGCCATGGGGGTCTGAGGTATCAGTTTCTTTTGGAAAACGGGTCTCTTGTCCAAAATAGTTTGGAAATCCCTGTTGTAATGTATTTTTTATGTAATAACCGGCAAATGAGCGGCGCACATGTGCCGGCTCGACCGGAGTGATACCACGGCCTCGTAGAAAACCAGTGTTAAGCAATTTTATCGAGGTGCAAAGGTATAATTCTCCAGAGGGCCCCTCGCAGGACGATAACGCACTTGTATCTATTGAGTTGCAGGTGTGTATAGGTGGCAGTAGTCAGTTACGATCAGATCACCCGCTGGCTCGTGCCCTAAAATGAAAAGTACTAGTCGACAATGGTAAGCTTTTAAACAAAGTCTTACCTGCTTATAGCCGACTCCAACAGCTGCCATAGAACCATGTATGAACTTGGTTTCCAGCGACACCATCCCGCGATAATATGCAGAGAGTATCATTTCCTCTGCAGTCAAACAACCGTCTGCGTACGCGCAACCCAACTCGCCCACACTGTGACCTGTTTGAATTGAAGTAAAAAAGCGTATGTACTAATTGGTAAACTTACTTCACTATCTCAATTGCCTTTGGCTTCGATCAGCTTGCACTATCCACAGTCAATTTAAAGGTATGTCATAACTTTTATACCATTTTATTTATTACCATTATTGGTAATTAAAATATTGAATATTTAATACATCTATATATATATATATATAAGAGATTTCCACGTATATAGTCACTCAAATCTCTGGAACCATTAGAGATAAAGACTTGAAATTTGGTAGGAATATTCTTTTCACCGAGTAGAGGTCAGCTAAGAAAGGATTTTAAGAAATCCAAAAAAAAAACATTTTTTTAAATAATGTAAATAGCAAAACAACGTTTGCAGGGTCAGCTAGTATCATATATATTCATATAAAAATACTTAATTTTTATCGAACTTAGAAAAAGGTCAAATCGGTTGTATTTTTTTTTTGGCTGTTACCTCCGTCATTTATTAACCAATATGGCAATATTTTTTATTAATTATAATATTTTTCTGTTTGGTGGCGTTCAAATTAAAAAAATAATTCTTATAATTGGCACTCCACCACTGTGTGCTTTTTAAGACATTTTTACCTCGCACTACCAACCTGAGGAAGAAATTATCGTCTGCGGTATTTCCGGACGGATACGACCTTTACACCTTCAAAAAAAGAGCGTTCTTCTACTTCAAAGGCCGGCAACGCGCTTGTGACTCCTGAGTTGCAGGCGTTCATGGCCGGCGGTAGTCACTTTCCATCAGGTGACCGGTCTGCTCGTTTGCCCCCTATTCCATAAAAAAAATCAAGATTATTACAATTCGTGTGAATGTAGGCACATTAAAGTCAGTGGTACTTTCTTAAACTAAATATAATAGCAGCTACGGTCTCACCAATGATTCCGTCTGGCTTTAATCCCATTGCATGAAGAATGTCAGTGAGTCCAATTTGAACAGCAGCAATTCCCACAAATGAATGTAGAATATTGTTAAATATGGTTTCATCTGGGGATGTTATTATCTCAACAATATCAAGTCCTGTTGGTTTTAAAGCTTGGCGGCATCTGAAAAAAATAATTGAAAATGATACACAGTTCGTTTCAAAAGAGAATGGCATATCAATTTTCTCCTTACCGTTCTATAGCAGCTACAAAGATGGGTATGCGCATGAGTTGCGTACCCATCCCGGCCCACTGCGAGCCCATGCCACTATAAACGAACCATAATGGACGTCTGGAGAGATCAGCGTAGTCAGTCTTCTCTCTCAAAATTACCGTTTTTTGTTCCTCATCTGCCTCTGAAATCATACATTTATGTAAATATTGATTGTTGAAGGTACGTGGTACGTGATTACCGACGCCCTGCAACTCTAGACTAGACATGGTAGATAATCACAGTCTACTGTGATTTATCATTCGATTTTTTCTTACGTTGGTTAGAGTTGCTACTAGCCCACGCGTTGTTGCCAATAAACTGTTTTCAGATGATGCTCCTTTTTTTGTAAATTGATCACACAATGCTAGTTTAAGTTCTTGTGGATATTTTGCTACCCTAATGCTTGTGTTTATTAGTTTAACTACAACATTAGCAATATTATCGCTTAACATTTTCACCACAGTGCATCGAATTCCATCATCACTAGCCGATTTGTTTAAATGTAATTTTTCGTATAATAGTTAATATATCTCTCTTAGTAGGCTTTTTGAAAAATATACATTTGTTTTTAGGAAATACGTAATCTGACTACATGTAGGTAATTTTTTTTGACTTTTTGGCAAAATTCCTTACCAAAATTGATAGCTATAGTACTACGTTTAAATTATTTTTCTAAAAGGTTTCAATTACCGCTTCATCAACTGATTTGTAAATTCGATCAGACAACGTATTAAAAATAGTTATAGTTTATTTTTATTCATTTTATTGCTACTAATAAGATCCTTATAATATTTGCTTCTAGACGTTTCTATTAATTTTTGAATTTTGTTTCGCTGTTTATTATGCTCTAATCTAAACATGTAATTGTTAGAATCTTTTTTCCATTGATTAAAAAGTAGATCTCTTTTTAAGGACATATATTATGTAATTTTATTGTTTATCCAAGGTTCCTTGTTTCTTCTGCTACTTAGAAGTATTTTTTGCATATACTTTATTTGTTCATAACTGTTGTCAACATTTTTTTTAATATAGTTATAAATCTCTATAGGATATTGCATGCTGTCTACCGTACTCCAAATCTATTTCGGTGAGCATTGACGTTAACATTCGTTGGATGGTTTGACATCACGCTGTACAGTGTTTGTCCCAACGTTGCCTGCGAACGACAACACAATCCGCTGATAGTCCACCATAACAGTACTAAGCACGGCCGAGTAAAGGTCTAGCGAGCGTGATCTAGCAAATATATGATCAATACAGCTAGGCGTAATGGATTCAATTAAGTACATTAAGTAGTTCAATACACCTGTACTATTTATTCTACTCAGGTTCGTTACGGCCTTAAACTTAAATTATTACATTATGATCATCATCATCATCAGCCTATCGCAGTCTACTGCAGGACATAGACCTCTCCCAATGCACGCCACTTGGATATATTTCTATTTTCTCGATATTTTTTTATTTTCTTGTATGTTTCTTAATTTTTACTAATGTGATTTCTAAATGTAATCACTCACTATAAATGAAAAAAAAATTAAAAATAAATTAAATTTAATTTAATTATTCGGACATTGATTACAATCACAATTTGTCAAACTTTTGTCTAACTAGAATTAAATAGATTTCTTTAATATTTTATTAAAACAATAGACACTTGTGGACAACGGGTAGCTTTCTTACTTTATAATTGTGGAAGGGATTTTAGTTTCTTTGTATTCATATTAATATCGTATAACGATTATTCGGGAATGTTACAGTGTCAACATTTCGTTTATCACAAGTAAGCGGTTTTACTTTCCTTTCACTCGTATTAATATTTCCAACTTCTTCTTCTATTAAGTTTTATTAAAGTATAACAACTTACGAAGAATAATGTATCCCCTGCCCACATGTCCCGCTATATTTCTTTTATGTATATTACGCAATAACGCCAACTGCTCATCATCTACAGGGTTCGATTTTAAGTTTTGATGTAGCCATTTCACTGCTTCTTCGTGTCTACCAGTTACAGTCACTAGGTGTGGTATACTGGTCTTATAGCGACTAAGATCCTGGAAACAGAGAAATCAGTTTTAAGGCAGTAAGCTAGCACGAAAAAAAGAAAACAGAGACAAAGTATATAAGTTGCATAGTTTTATGCAATATTACACTATTCGTATTGCGGTGCGCAACACTAGGGCGCGGCACAAAGGACTGTGGGATATTTCTCTTGCGTAACGGCATAGTCAACGCACTGTAGAAGCCTAACCTATGTATATAAAAATGTACGATACCTGAAACCTGAAATGTACGGTACGATACCTGCTTCAAAGATTGTTTGTATCTACTTTTGGAATCACTTTTTTTCCTCATTTCTCATCAATGCAACTGATGGCAGGGTACAGCTAATTATCTATAACTTATAGTAGTAGCAATAATTTATATTATTTTTATACCTTTGGTTTATAATGTCCATGCAGCAACACATGTGAGTTGACTCCAGTAACAGACAGGCCATTGACAGCGACGTAAGAGCGATCAAATGTTTGGTGCTCGTCGAGGATGCGCATGCGCCCGTCGTGTAATGCTTCAATATCTTTGCGTGGTTGTTCGCAATGCAGATTTGCTGCTAATTTGCCATTGTGATAACCTAACAACACCTTTACAAGTAAAAAGTTATTATAATGGTGAAATGTACTTAGCAAAACACATTTATTCATTACATATTGTAAGGTAACCTGGGACCTGGGACCAGGCTATTAATAAACATACTCATACATTTGTAAGTACTTAAATAAAGGCCTTAGGTCGAAAAATTGTGAGATGAGAAGGCGTTGGTCACGTTATACATTCGAAGGTGATATATAGTTCTATTTACCTTTGTGATGGCAGATAAGCCAGAAGCAGCCTCTCCATACCCAATATTAGACATGACACTGCCGATCAATAAAGGCTTATTATCTCTATTCTTACAGAATAATTCTTGAATGGCTTGTAGTTCTACTTTATCTACCTCAGGGGTCGCTGAAATAATCAGATACATATATCAGTAGTCTATATTCTCATAAATAGTAGCCGTTGATTTCGATTCTTTCTAGAAAACTTACCACAACCAAAAGCTTCAAAGTATTCAATAGCGTCTGCGGATATTCCAGCCTCTTTATAAAACGTTTTAAGGAAATCAATTGTATTATTCAGGTCTCTATAGAATCCAAACTTTGGACTCGTACTTTCTTTTATCATACCTACATACTCAGATTTAACATGCAAGACATCGGCGTATATTCTGTGAAATAAATTAACAACCATAGATTTTCTTCTTAAAAAATATTAAATAATGATGTTTGATTTATTTTCTTGTATTACTTTACCTCAGAGCATTTTTGGCCTTTTGCAGAAATAAAACATTGATTGCCTCTGACCTAGCACATCCTTGAGCACGTTCGTCGAAAGAGAAAGTTTTACCATCTCTGCTCATTGGTACTACTCTGTAAAAAATAGAGCGATGGAGGAGAGAACCACACGAAAAAAACTTATAGTGTTTGCCACTTAACCGTCGCGTGGTCAAATTCTTGTTGCGACGCATAAAGTTATGTGGTTTATACGAGATCGTCGATCATCGTTATTGATCTAATAGTTTATTAGTATATAAAAAAGGTTTCTGTACCCTGTAATCGTTTTCTGATAGGTCAAGTGTCATGCCTTTGACCTGTGTGAAAACAATTTTATTCCCAAACAGGGTTAGCGTCAGATGATGAATCATTGTAGTATGTATAGTACAATTTAACATCTTGTCCTCCGGTACTTGAAATTTTCTAAATTGTGGGTGCACTACAAAGCTATTAATCGAGAGTTGAAGTATTATGTAAATATGGAGAATCTGATTTTTCTGAGTTATGAACTAAAAAATCCAGTTTCCATGTCAGGTATCAATAAAAACATTCATTTCTCAAATAAATACATTTGAGAAATAAATGTATTTTAAGAAGTGTAATTCATACAGAATTATTTACCTTGCTAAATTTATTGCCGATTGCGGATGTAAACACAAATATGATCCAGCAACAATTGAGCAGTCGCATCTCCCTTGCATCATAGCCAGGTACGCTTGTTCTAATGCACTGATAGAACTACAGCATAATGAATCAATCGCGGCTGATGGACCCTTGCCGTTTAGCCAGTATGAAACACGATTAGCGAACATAGATTTACAGCATCTGATTTTGAAAAATACACTTTTAAGATTTGTAAATTTACCAACCACTTTTAAAAATATTATTCTTCAGATTATAGATCAAATTGTTTCGAATCGAATCCGGATTTTAAGACTAGAGATTTCAAACTTTCGGGTAGCCATATTGAATAATAAGTACTCGACGAATAATGAAGAAAAGTATTTACTAAAAGAAAAGGTAAATGAGATTCGAAATCAACAGTCACATTAAGAGCCTTTGGTAGTCCACTGTTGGATATAGAGGCCTCTCCTTAGAAAGGAAATTTTGTCCTAATATGCCACGCTAGCCAGACGGTTTGGTATAGGCTTTGTTTCCAGTTTTCCTTCTCTTTTCACTGCTTTTGTCTTGCGTAGTTTGCTCACCTAGTCGGCACTTACGGCACCCACGATGAGTAGGGGTGGTGCCACTCTGTATTCTTAATCCTAATCTTAATTAAATAGTCATTACGTCGTACGGATAGTCATAAGTCAATATTAGGAAAGAATGTTGCTTATGCAGATGGATTCGATCAAGATTGCATATCTGTAACTCGAATTGCTAACTTGTTTTTGTTTTTTACTAAACACAGACAGAACCATTGGCTATCGTCACAATGTTAGAGTTTGAACCCATCGTGAATTCAGTGTACTGAATGGATATTTTGAGATTTGAAGTATTTTTCTTACCCAGTTACACCAAAACCAGTTACTGCTTTGCCATCGTACACACTGGATTTGTCTGTTTCAGAAAAACATGCTCCTACGAAAACTCCTACATTAGTTCCCGATAGCTCCTCGGGATTTAAACCTGCAAAAATATCACAATTAGTGAAAATTGATAATTATCTTTCTAACACAATTACCGTATATAACATGGCATAGAAATAGTTTTAAAATAATATAAAGGAATGTAAATCGGTTTTTCACCTATTTACATGTTATTAATATGCATAATAAAAAAAAATTAGACGTAGATAGACAAGTACATAACAAATAATTTAAATACAATGTAATGTGTGTACGAGTATATATTAGTTAACGTGAAAAACAGACTGCATCATTTACATGTTGTTCATGTATGTGTTGGTACACATATGTCCACGTGATTGAAATCAGCGTAGCCTCTAACCCTTGATTAAGATACAACGAGATATCTTTAAGTCCTCATTTATTAAACTTCACCAAAATTGTATTTCAGTTTTATTTTAAATAAACATTGTGACAAAATTTAACAAACTCAACGTATGATGTTATGTGATGAAATGAATCATCATACCACTCGAGGTTCAACCTTTCTCATAAACCAATTATCTATCTGGTCTATTTTGCAACACAAAGATACTTTGAATGTCAGCAGCATTTCCCCACAACAAAATACCGTATGATATTGCACTATGAAAATAGCTAAAAAACACTAGTCTAGCTGTTTCTACATCAGTTTTCAGTTCCATTTATCAGAACACTGGTTTTTACCTGCTTAACATTAGATGTATAAAATCTAATTCTTTCTCTTTAGTTTCTTTCTCATTTAAAAGTGAGTTATTAACGTTGAACCAGTTCACGACCTTTGAGAGAGTGTTATTTACATTGTATTTTAATAAAAGTGAAGTGACATCCGCAAATAGCCCTATCTCTAGGTAGGTCTGCGGAACCCCCATAGTGACCAGAGACCCGAGGGACCTCTGTCCATTAACTTCCACTCTCTGGATTCTATCAAACGAATAAAAGAAGAAGAATAAGAAGATCCAAAGCAGTATTCCTTAATCCATAGTGATGCACTTTCCTGGTCAATGTTTCATGAAAAACGCAATCGAATGTCTTAGTCAAACCACAAAATCCTCCCAGGCAACAAATTTACTTTCAAGAATTTCAACACCAGTTCGTTAATTCGTTAGTTCGCTTGTCGAGCGATCTCTACAATATTCTACATAGGAACCTAATTGGTTCCTATGTAGAATATTGTTTACACTAAAGTTGGTTTGCAGCTGATCATCATTATAAGCAAAGCCAGGCAGTTTATTTTTAAAAATTGCTATACGAGCCACAGTTTTAGGTACTACAGTAATATCTAGTGTTAAGACCATTTTGTTTTTATAGCAAAAGCACACATCTGTCCACTGTGATCAGAATGTAGTTTGTTTATTATTACTTTGGTGTGTGGCAATATGTCAGTAAATATAATATCTTAACTCCTGGCTGTGGTGTCAGTGATCCTGGTAGGCTCCAAAAAAATGTTATCAAGATTGTATGATCTAAAAAGATTGTTAAACCTTAAATTCAAGGATGTATTTTCCAATATATTGACATTAAAATCACCACACACAACTACACTTGTTTGATTTACATTCTTTCTGCAAGACTTCATTCAATTTTTTTCAAAACTAACATACGATGTGGAGGGAGGTCTGTATACACTCAATACAATAAGTTGCTCTAACTTCACACATGGTATCTCCCTTGTGAACCTTAAATGAACCTCGATTGGAATATAAATGACTTACCGGCATCGTAAATAGCTTGGTATGCTTGTTCTAAGATCTTTCTCGACATTGGGTCCATGATATTTGCCTGACGGAAGTGCACTTTAAAGAATTGAGCATCAAACTGGTTGACATCAGGAACATTGGCAGTATAGGGCACCAGCTCTGGATGATTTAAGGTAAAACGTTGATCATCAGTTGATATGGGGTTTATCTGTAATAATAACACCATTACATATTTTAAGGCATTGTGACACAGCATACAACAATCCAGTGCAACTCCTGACAATGTTGCGGTACAACGTTTCACTCGGCCAAGGTTGGGTTCAAAAGTAATTATTATTCATCACATCACATCAACAGTCTTTAATAGTCCACTGCTGAACATAGGCCTCTCCTTAGAAAGGAGATTTTGGGTTATTTCTTACAATAATTTATATTAAATGGTTGTGTAATTTATAAATTAAATACCTTTGTTGTTTATTTGCCCGAACTAGGTTGAACCTATGTCTCGGGCGAAGAAGTGCTTACAATTTTCTTTATCAATATAAATCTACATAAACTACAATTTAATTGTAACATTTTAATAGGCTACATAAGCAACTAGCAACACCAGTGATAAGTGGGTCAAAAATAAAGCACTACTGCCTAACGCCGGTTCTTACCTACGCATGCCAGACATGGTCCCTCAAAAAATCACTCTTAAATAAAATAAGAACCTGTCAAAGAGGACTAGAACGGAGTTACATGAACATCAAATTGAAAGATAGAGTCAAAAGTTCACTGATAAGGAAAAGAACAAAGGCGAAAGATGCAGTCAAACAGGTCCTGACATTAAAATGGAAATGGTCTGGTCATATTCAGAGAGCTACGGATCAAAGATGGTCACTTAATGGACACATGGATGGACAAATAATCACAAATTGGTACCCAATATATAAAAATTGAAGGAAGGGTAGACCATTTAAAAGATGGAGTGACGACATCGTAGAAACAGCCGGAAACTTATGGTCCAGACGGGCAAATGATAGAGCCACCTGGAATGGTTTGGAGGAGGCTTTCACCGCAAAAGGCGGCCCTTACACCTAAAAATACTAACCTTATTTTAAAACAAAACTAACATTACTACCAAAACATAAATAGGCATACTAAATAGTAGATAAGAAATACATACATGTAAGGGATTAAATAAAGCTAATAATAATAATAAAAACTATTTATATATATATTGCATAAAGCAGGTAAAATAGTAAGGAAATTTGGCAACATGGAAAACTACTTATACTTCTAACACCGCGTGAATCAAACTCGAGTCTACTGGATGCTAATACCTCGTAACTTCTGTCAGCTAACAAGGTTAATAACTATTTTGTAAACGTAGGTAAAATTTTTGCCTAACGAATTCAGCAACAAAATTGTTATCATACTACTACGCCTCTTCAAAAACCAAGTAATAGCTCTAGTCTGAAATCATTTGTCATGCTTTACACTGATGAAGGCGAAATAGAGCAAATTGTGCAGTCGGTTAGGATAGTAAAAGTAGTAAAATTCTTAAACGTTTCAAGCATATTTTGGTACCTCTGCTTACGTATATTTTTCGCCTCTGTGTTTCTGAAAGGATTTTTCCTACGTCAGGTACGTAGGCGTAGGTAAAAGGCGGTAGTTATTGGTGTTTTCAAACCTGGGAGCAAAGATCTAGCTAGCAATAATAGACCTATAGTTAGTACCTGCCTGTGGGCTCCAAAAGATAAACAAGTCGTTTCAAAGTCAATGTGTCCGATTTTATAATAAAATCCCAAATGATATTCAAGACTTCAGTACACATTTAGGTACACACACACACAGTACAGGTATACAGTAACAAATTTAAATACGCAATTAAACGTAAATTGTATCAGAGGGTAGAGGTACACTAGGGTAGTATTACTCAATTGTGGATTACATAGAAGACAAAAATGCTTTGGAATAATTTAGCGCAGGCTATTTCTGAAGTGGAAATGTGATGTGGGCTAGGGTGTTTTTCTATTTTTTATGTTTCACTTCACTTTCTATATTATTTGATCTTTTTTCCTAATCTTATTTTTCTCTTTATTGTCTTTTTACCTTTTAGTCCTTAACAACGGACATATTGGCACACATCGGCACAATGTTGTAGTATATTTAATAATGCGATTGTATTTATATGTAAATTGTAAAAGAGTGGCCATGAGTTGGTTCGCTGTTTCTTCGCATAAGGCCCAACCCCTTGGAAAAGGGGGGTTGTTGATCGGCACAGGCATATCATAGAATATGTCAATCAATTATCAAATATTGTATAACCTCATGGGGTGGAGCACTCAAAACTATTACACTGCCTCTAGAAAGAGCTCAAAGAGCAATTCTAAAAGTAGCCACCTCTCGACCTTTCCTCTTTCCCACAACTATATTATATAAATTGTGATGCGATAATTGCATCGATTACCTTAATTAACTGTTATGCATCACTCTGTATATAGCTTTTCTCATTGTATAAAACCTGTTGCGATCGGCAATGTGCGGTACCGTCGGTGACGTATTACGCAGTGGGAACTAAATGAACCTACAACCTACAATGACTACCCACCCTTTTTTTTTTTGCCAGTGATATTTTGATCTTGTTGCCTCAGTCAATGTATTCATTTAGAATAAATAATTAACTGTTGAAGTATATATAAATATGTATTAGTTATGACACTGACGCACGGAAAAACTCGAACGAGTTTATGCGGCATCATACTGTTTAAACTGTGGACCTTAATTTATAAAAAAAATATAAAATGCTAAACGGTCTTAGTTCATCGCTTTCGTTTTCAGGTTTGTGGGTATGGGGCCTTTGAAAATTACCTTCATAGCCCAGTATTTACTCCTCGTTTTCTTTACTCTTCGATCGATTTCTTTTTCTGTACAGGATTTTATTGAGATTAGATGTCCGAGGTAAGTTTAATCTGCGACATATTCTATAGTTTGAGACTAGGTAGGTAGGTAGGTAGGTATTTCTTCACGATTAGTCATTATTTTCGTTTTGTCCCAGTTGATCTGTAACCCAACGGTCTCACTGTGATGGCTAAGGGACTCTATCATATCGTTAAGTTTGCGCGGGTCTTCCGACAGCAATACTATGTCATCCGCAAACCTGAGGTGTGAGAGATACTTGCCATTGATTTTTATTCCCACATCACTCCAATCGAGGTTTCGGAATATGGAATCTAAGACTGCGATGAAAAGCTTTGGGGAGAGCGGATCGCCTTGCTTTACCCCCCTCTCGACTTGAAATGATGGTCCTCTTGAGTCTAGACGTACTCTTGTTGTGCTTCTCAGGTAAATAGCTGTAATAAGTTCTATATAGTCGTGGTCTAGTCCTTGCTGGTTTAAAGCCTGCCATATAGAGTCATGTGAAATTGAATCGAAGGCTTTCGAGTAGTCTATAAAAGCAACGTATAAGGGGAGGTCATATTCCATAAACCGTTCGATTATTACTTTCAGTGTGTGTATGTGGTCATTGGTAGAGAAATTTTTCATGAATCCCGCTTGCTCTACAGGCTGGTTCTCGTCAATCTTCGTTGTTACACGTCTTAGTAGGGTCGATGCAAATACTTTATATAGACAGGATATAAGACTGATGGGTCTGTAATTAGATATCAGTTTGGGGTCTCCCTTTTTATACAGTAGAACTATCTCCGAGCATGTTTATGTTTCCGGTAGTTCTTTTGTTTTTAAAATACAGTTGAAAAGCTTAGCTTAGGTTTTATTAGTTTCTCTTTCGAGGCTTTTATCATCTCGTTTGTCACTCCGTCAGGTCCTGGGCTCTTTCCTGCTTTTAGTTTTATTATAGATAGCTCTATCTCTCTTTCTAAAAAAGGTGGTACTGTTTCTTGAACTGGTTTATATTTTTTAGGCATTGGTGTCTCATGATTTTTATTTATAGTAGTTAATTTTTATTTTTTCAAAAGATTATTGCCGAAGTTTTTGTATCTCTTGTATGTTGTTTGAAGCACCAAATCATAAGGAGATCTATGAGCGGTCTGATGGAGTTTGTCAGTTTGTTGTTTGTTTTTTTTTTCCGTGCGGAAATCCCCTCGGATACCACCTGTCGGTGGCATGTCGGACTCGAACCGACTAAAACCGCACGCCGTCGCCGGGTACTAATAGCCGGGGAACCAGGTATACCCTAGAAAGGAAGTCCCTGGTGCCCCGACATACCTTGGGTCATCTACAGACGAGTAGACGACCCCCCCCCCCGTGTGGGAACCCCATGTTCCCTGTGCTCCCTGGAAGCGAGCGCGCTTCGCAACGCGCTCGCCGCCACCCCGGCCTGCTTCTGCTAGGGTGACAGATGGCCTCACCTGTCACCCCCAGGCCTGCGCTTATGGAGGACGGAGGTCGTTCTGCGACCTCCGGCGCCTGAGTCGCCTGCGGTACCTGGCCCGTTCCCGGGCCTGGCGGGCCGGGAGAGTCCTAAACCTCTCCCGGTCCCGCTCCGCCGTCTCCTTCGCGAGCATAACTTGCTCGCAGAAGGAGACGGCAGAGTTCCACGCACTCTCGCTCCGGACGATAGCCGCAATCAGGCTATCGAGCGAGAGAACTCCCACTCCGATGGCCGCCACGAGGTTTCGCCTCTGCTCAACCCACGCCGGGCATTCTGCCAGTGTGTGGAGGCGCTCGGTTGCCCGAGTCGTTCCCTCCACTCCCCTATGATGACCTGGCGGAGTTGGGATTTCCGGTCATCGATTTCTCGAATCTCGGGGCATCGACCCAACTCCCGCGCCTCCTTGCGCCACTGATACAGAGCCGCAAGGGCTCTCGCCTCCAGGTCCCACAGTGGAGTTCCGGCCAGGAGACTCGCCGCCTCAAAGGAGATCGTGCGGTACCGCCTTATGATCCTGATGGCCAGCACTCGCTGCGGTCGTCGCAGTATCGCGACGTTGCTGGCCTTCAGGGCCCCCGCCCATACTGGGCACCCGTAAAGGGCCATGGACCGCACAACCCCCGAGTAGAGTCTCCTGCAGGAGTCATCGGGTCCCTTCATGTTGGGCAGCAGCCGCGCCAACGCACGCGCTGCCCCAACCAACTTGGGGACCAGACCTCGGAAATCATATCCGAAGTCCCATCGGCCATCGAGTACGAGCCCCAGATACCTGATCGAGGGCTCGATGCCGATGCGAGTGCCTCCTACCGTGAGGCTAGATCCCTCAGGCG